ATACCCTACCACAGGCGGCATGAACATTTTAACCCCCCTTGCCTTTGGAAATTCCAAAATGTTCTACCCCTCCCCCATGCCCTCCGAATTCCAAAATCGTTACCCCCTCCTTCCCTCTGAAATTTCCGATTTTTTTTCAGACCCTTTGGAATTCCTGTTTGACCGCCTAAAACTTCCACTGAATGGGAAACTTGTGCTTTTTCCCCCTCTAAGAAAATTCTGCTCACAATTAACGGTCAAACAAACAAGGAACTCAAGTTTGTTAATGTTTAATACAGTGCACCGTAGCTTTCCCTTCTAAGTGTTATCTTGAAGTTGTTTACCACCAAATAAAAATTTTTGTTTTCATTTCATTAGCTTCATATTTTCAGGAGAGTAGATCATATTCAAACCAGTGGAAGACAAAAGTGAAGTTCACGATGTGCTGTCTCTCGCCATATTGAAAATTGTGTTCATTGAGGAACTGCTGACCACTAGTAATGCAGCCTATAAATCTGTCAGGCGTTCCATTGGGAAACGAGAGACTGGGGCAAGTTTTAATCATGGATCAACAATTTTAGGTCAGAAAGAAACACAGACTTGTTTTACATTTTATTAATCTATTGACTAATTCATCAACTTTAAGGCCTCTTCAATGTGGAACTCACTGCACAATCTATCTGCTCACTTTTCTGTGTGATCGTTAGCACCTGCCTGATCGATCTTTATCCTGCTTCAGCGGTCAGTTCATGCTTGATGATTTACAAACTGGAAACGTTATCGGATCAACAATTTCAAGCGAAGCTTTTGTCTTCTTCTCCCTCTGGAAATTCAGAGCTGAACCCTCCCCCGCTATGTGTTTGGAATTCCAAACTGTGTTACCCCCCATGCCTTCAACATTCCAGTCCAAGAAACTGCCCCTCTCCCTCGGAATTCCAAGATGCTGCCTGTGGTATGGTATGGATATTTTCTGGAATCACCCAATAAATAAATTTATGCCACTTCCCCAATGGGGCTTTTCAGGGTCAATGGAAACAAGCAGTGAAACAAATAGTGTAAATGAGCATCACTCTTACTGACACATACAAGGCCATTTTATTATTTATTCATTCCCCCTTTTGACCAAACCAGTTAAGAATTTACCCACTTACAAAACCAGACCTATTCACTAGTGCTGACATCAAGCTCCCACACACAAAAAAAGAAACATTTATCTTTATCCCCATGAGAAAAGGCCATTTTTCTTCCAAACCCCTTCCAAAATACTCTTAAGGTTAAAATTTATGACGATGATGGACCAAACCCCTCAGAAATTACTTTCAGGGCCCCTTAAGAAAATCTTGTGAACAGATCGGTGAGGAATGGGTACAGGAGGGGAAGACAGGAGGGGGGGGGGGCATGGATATCATATGAAATGGCTAACAACCTGCATCTGAATATAAGCTCAATATTCTTATGAACAACAAATCCAATAGAGCTCACCTGCTACTACGATGAGAATGGATACTGCTTGCCACGCTCTTGCTGCTGTGACTTGATGACTTAGCTGACGGCGGAGCCACAGATGGTACACCAGACCGTGGGGTCATCAAAAGTTTACGAAAATCTTCATTTGTCAATGCTGGTACTCTACGTATACAAGAGCAAGATAATCCAGACTTCGATCAAATTTAATTTCCCTCTCTTATTAAATTTCTCACTCCCTAAATCTCTCGCATTCCAACAAAACTCGAGCTTAACTTCGTTTTCTTTTGGTAGCCATTTGAGCTTCAGGTCGTCTAGTTGTCTATTGCAAGCGACGTCCATCTGCCGCGCTAAAACGTCTATTCTGCTCAACACACTTTTAACTGAACTAAAAATTCAGCTGTACACTTCTGCTAAGGATCGGAGGAATTAAACACAAGCCCAAGCTTAAACTAAATGAGAAATAAATGACAAAAACAGCTCAAAGCTTGGGCAAGCCAAACACGTATACCTACCCGCCGCCATGATGGCCTCCGTACGATCCTGACGAAGACGGCGGGGCTAATGGATTTGAGAACACTTCAACACCTGAAAATAAAAGAACATAGCTAAAAGCAGGTTCTCCTTATACTTAGAGACTATAGAAGTGACTAGAAAAGGGATTGATAGCAAAATAACAGCGCTTCAATTTACCTTCCGACGGCATCGCTTCGACTTTGTTGGTGTTACAAGAACGAGTGGAGACTAGGCAAGAACAGGTTTCAGGCTTGGTTACCCAGGCAAGTCAGTAATCCAATATGGCGGGCGAAGTTCAAATCTTTCAGTTAAAGATTGTGGCTCTTGGTTATACAAATTAATGTTTGGATTTGTTCCATATCACAGATCAAACGACTTTTGAGGTAACTTTTTTTCATGGGCAAACGAAAGTATTCAGCTAGAACGTGTATAATGTATAGTCAAATCTCTGGCTGAAGCTTTTAGAAGATTCGATGAACTGACCAAACTAGTGGAAGTTCATCCTTCACCTTTTCTGTTTAGATTATTTGGTTTTATTACAATATTTAATGATTTATTTTTCCTTTATAGATCGCTGCCTGTAGCGAAATGCAGAATTACATGCATCAGCTGCCACACATCAGGCCCACGAGACACATCACGGAGGAAAAACTGTGTCAAATCCTGGAGACTTTTCACAATGCAGATGATGGGAGGAAAGGATTCTTAACAAATGAGGATCTTAAAGTAGCATTTGTGGCCCTGTTTGGTTACAAGCCATCAAAGAATGAAGTAGG